CATCCACTGAAACACCTACCAGTACTAACCGAGCTTATCGCACTTTTAAACAAAAATTCCCAAATCATCCATTCCCAACCAAACCCGGAACAGCCCGAGAATACATCAACCACCCAGAACACACAAATACGACAAATTTTCTAGATATCAACCTACCATCATTTCCGCAATATACATTAAATACACCTACCATTGCTAACGAAACACGAAATTTTGTTGATGAGCACGTTCTAATGCCAACACTCCATTGGACAGCTTATTATCATTATACTAACCCCCTCTGCCTACCATTAGCTAATACTACTGAAAGTATCAAGAAAAATAAAAACATGTTATATAGACTAACCACAACACTAACACCTCGACAATTTACTTACGTTGGATATAAAAAATTATTAAAAACATTCACCGCACCCCGAGCTAACAATTTTGCAATAGAACACTACGATCATAATATCATCCGCCCTAATCAAGATCAATTTTTAGATGAAGACCGCTTCGCAAACCCGCAACTATCAGAAAAATTTTTCATCAAAACGTCATATGTATTTACGCTTAATATTTTGATAGAAAGCATGATCATATTATTTCAGAATCACTAGTTGATATTCAAGCATACGAGAGCTTCTATGACAAATTTCAGTCATTTTCACTAACGTTTCACTTTCTTTCACCACAGGAACGCGATTTGCACTGTTCCCACGATCTTATGTGACGCACTAAACAAACGCACCCATATACATATTATCGTTTTATACAAAATCATTTTGATTTGCACACTCCATCAAGACAACCTCACCATTGTTTTCAGTTTCTTAACTCAAAATACACGTCACCATTTTTTCTAAATTTTACATATTGCTTTAAAGATACTAACCTACACGGCATCCTCCGCAACTATGACCCAGTTACCCAAATGTATATATTCTGTCCCATCACAAAGACCTTCAACGCCGAAGAATCAAGACCCTTCCTTATCCCGCATGAATTTATCACACCTATTGAAATACCCATATTAGAATTCATTCACAATACTAAATTTAACCATAAAATAAATAACCTCATCCAAAACACACCTTACGAGTTCGCAGTAGGCACAGAAGAACTAAACACCATCAAGGCACTCTAATTGCTTTGGCCACTGCTACAAACTAAAAACACCATACGCATACTAGTCAAGTTACTAACAACATCAGACATGATTCACGACATCTTCCCCCACGGCTTTTTCCCAGAAGACTAAGGTAACTATAGTTTAAAATACTTTTAACTAATAAATTCAAATGTATACTAACCATTTTTTATCAATGTTTGATTTATTCTTTTAGTCTTCACACCACAATCATCTACAAAACAGAAAAGACAAATAAAAATACAAACTTGTTAAAATATATTCAAACTCCTTAATCTTTAGCACTAAATAATGTAGTAAAATTCATACCCATTGTAGTAATTTCATCTATAAACTATTTCCCCACGAAGCAGTAAAATTGAATACGATGAAAATTTATAATTTGAAACTTCCCCAAAACGTAGTAAAATTCAAATTCAATGCAATCAATTCATAAAATGAGAAAACAGTACTAACCTTTTCATTTTTTTCATTGATTCGCACAAGAATTCTATCCAAACTCGCACAGCTCGCCCACGAAGAATTGTTTAAATAATGATTTTAAGTTTCAAGCTTTCACTATAAACAACTCTAACACACGATAACAAGTTTCAAAGTTTCCTTTAACACGGTTGGAAAGGAATTATATACTAAACCAAACTAACCAACGCAGCTTACTAAACACCACAAATCATAAAATAACAGCATGACTAAGAAAAGAAAACCAACGATACCCAAACCGGATTAACCCAGCTTAAAACTGGATAATTTATTCTTTTGAAGACTATTATAAAGTCAAGGGTGAGTAACTCTTCCGAATAACTGAACTAAAACAAAACGCTTTTGTGAAAACGACTAACTAAGTTCATGATTAAAAAACCAAATTAACATAAGTTTATAAAATGTAAATCATACTTTGCAGTATATAGATCATACACAACAACAAAGACGAACATCCAAAGACTAGATGATCCCATCACACTCGCACAAAAGAATGGCTAAACACAACCGACATGCCATCCACAATCACGACTCAAAGGATTTAGAGTACGACTTGACTTCGCAGAAAAGGACTTCATTGAACTAGACCAATGACCACCTCGATGCTCAAGTATACGTACAGGTCCAAGTTACAAGGCATCCCTTCCAAACACGATCTTCACGCCATTCCCAGACGAGGCTGCACACAAAACAGTTCTCTAATAATACAGAAAAACCTGACATAGCAAACCATTTTGAAATCGGATTGATTTCATTGGGGATCACAGTCGTTGTCGAATGACGCAATAATAACTTCCTATCCCTGATTCCAGCGTCCTGGAACGTTCTTCCTCAAGAGGAACCGGATAAGAAAATGATGTTCGCCAAATACCAACGTTCATCATCCATCCTTCAAATTGCAGAGAAGAAATATTGTTCTAAAAACTCTGTAAACCCCGGATGGGTGGAACCTGATCTAAACAACATTTTATTATTGGATAAATTAGATATTTTACCACTGTAAAATATTTAATATTAACCAATCATAATCCATCCAACTAACAACCCTTTTATTTTTAAGTGCTGAAATTACTTGTAGTTTCAGCACCAGAGAGATTTGAATTTAACTTAGAAATTAGTTGCCTCTCCAAGAGAACTTCAGCGGACGCAATAAGCCAGTATACTCTAGATCTATTGAGCCTAGCAGAGACTAGTTAAACACCCTGAGACTAGTAGATATAAGAGTAAGATTAAGATCGGTATTAGACTAAGAAGTTGCACTAATCTATCCGGCCGAAAATAAGATAGCGTGACGAGCAGACGGTGTACCCTATCCGAAATTACTCTATGAGTTAACCAAAAGGACCTAACTCACAGCGTGAAAAAAAGTACTCTGTTAGCTATAGTTCCTTCCACCCTTGAGGGGTGGTCGGAAACAAAGCTCTTTTGTTATGTTTTCTTTTCTAAACCACTATGCTGTGTTAAAGGCGAACTTGAACGACTACCGTTCTTATTTGCTGTTTTAAAGTGTCTTTACTGCCAGTGATATTTCACTATATTCATTGTTTCTTATACTATTGAAATCTCTCAGCTGTCCGTTCAAACTTTAAAATTTGTTTTTGCGATTTACGAAGAAAAAAGTTCTCAACTTGGAATATGTTGTTGATGAAACCTTTTTTTACAAAAATTTTTAAATAAGGGAAGCCAAATTAGGCACCGTATAACCTCAAAATAATACCAAAGGTTATTGGGGAGCGGTGGATAAGTAGTCACGTCTCCGCCGCCTATCAATCGAAAAGTCGGATATGGAGGCCCATTAACCATATGGAGGCCCATCAGCTCAAAAAAATTAACCATCAAAATTGAATAAAATTCTTAAGCCGGGGCACAGCAGCTGTTCGCCGTGGTGAGCTGAACAGCTCGTATGCTGGTCATTTCTCTTGTGGATAAATCGTCTTAGCTTGGCGTAATGCCCGATCAATCAACTTGAAATTCAATTAAAATCAACCATACCTGCAATGAGTGCCCATGGTTTTTATTTGATTAAAATTGATTTCTGAGACCAAAATAATCCATTACAATCATTGCAGAAGTAAAATTCAGACCACGAAATTGGTTATATTGACTTTAAAATCAATTTTTTTTTGAAAAAAAACTAATCCGTTATAATCCTTTAAAATTGATTGAACTGCATTTTTGCTCTGAAATCGTTAACTGGAAAACATAATCGGAGATTATAACCGGTTGCTTTTGAAATAAAAATCAAAACGATTTTGCAAATTTTGCCAGAAATTATGAGCCATGTCTTTTTTATGTTATAACAATCAAAACAGGTAAAAAACAAATGCCTTCAACCGATCCCATCCCCATGTTTATTTTAATTTAACACGAACTAAAACCCTCACCACAGGTTACAATTAACCATACCCCCCCCCCCCAGTCTTTTTACAACTGAAAGTAGGGGGCTCACGCCCCTCCCCCAGTTTAATCCCCCACATTTTTTAACAAAAAGTCCAACCCCTCAAGTTTTTAACCCCCCACCACGTTCAGTAAACTGGAAGGGGCGTAAACTGGGGAGGGGTAAGCAATGAGGGGGGGGGGGGGGGGGGGGCAAGCTGGGGAGAGACCGTTGTTTAAAGAGGTGGTGGAGTTCACATGGAGTCACCTCCCCCCTCCCCCTTTCAACCATTTTCCTACCCCTATTCAATCATTAGGTAACTCCTTTCAATCATTAAACCCCCACTTGAAAGACCCCCCACTTGATAGTGGGCGAAGAATGGCAATGGTAAAACTGGGCGAATGGTGATTTTTTTTACCGGCGATGGTAATAAATAGAATGAAACAACATGTTGAACTGTCAAATTGAAAAAGTACAGAAAACTTAAATATGTAAAATTTTTGTGAAAAATAAAAGCTTATGAAACTTAATACGTAATAATTGCTCTAAACAAAAAATGGGATAACTTTGAAAAAAATGCGAATTGAATGAGTAACTTCTTTAGAATGATTCTATTATGATGGATTATATTGATATAAAAAATATAACGATAATTATCATTTTTTAATGGATTATAATCGATTATTTTGTAATTTTATAATTACTGACAATAAAATGACAATATAATCTATTGTGATCCATGGGCGATTGATTCGGGCAGTAAGCTTTGATAGGTGACAAGTTATTTTGATGAATTCCGAAACTGGCCTCCAGAATTTTTCAGTCAATTATTTTTACATCGTAGACAACACCTTATTGTTTGTAAGAAAAACTGCTATAAATTTGCAACGGTCAACAAATGTTGTTCCATAATTTTACATTTGCTTAATGTTTCAATATTCAGTCAGTTTGTATTAGCGATGAAAAAATGCGTTATTTTGGCATTCCGAATTACCAATAATCCACTTGCTGTTTATAACAGATGTTTTCAATTCCTTTATTCTATTTGGCGCATTGATGAAAACAACAGGACAAAACTGAAACAATTGTTTTTTTTCTTCATAACCAAACGCAGTCATAAATTATTATTGCCAATTCACAAAATTCCATAACGACTTGTTTATCCTATTTTTAGTGCATCAGATGCATTTGTGACTAACCAGTGACTTTCAATCTATTATGAAAAAGCAATAAGCAAACTTTTTTCTTGTTATTAGTAATAATTTGTGTTTTACGTTTTATATAAGCTGCCTAATTGTTTGTTGTTCTGTAATACTACAATTTTCCTATCAAAATTGAAAATTTAATTCGTTATCAAGTTTGATTTCAAAAAGTTCTCATGAAAACGTTTTGAGTGTAAAAACATATTCGACAATTTCATGTTTTTTTAAGTGTCCACCACTCACTTCTATCAAATATTTTGAGACCATTTTCAATTTCATCGTAATTTTTTTACAAAAACTTGAAGGTGATTTTTTCAAATAAATCAGTTATAATCAGTTCGTTTTAATATGGAGGACGTTACACATATCATAACTGTGATTGTTATGGCCATAGCAGAAGTTGTGACCCTGATAACGTCATGTCTGGCATTGGGTGGGGGCAACTGGGCGGAGACAGTGTCGGAACAGGGGGACTATTTTGCGAGGGTGGACAACAGACAGAGCATCAGTTATCTCGACAGTAACAGAATCCACTCTGTCGGCATGTGGAGGTTTTTCATGATGGGAGACTATGACTCAACGCCTCTCCCAATCAGAGGTAATTTAGTCGGCTCTTTTCGAGTATATCCCAGATATTATAATAGTATTCGTTTTCTGATCATTGAAAAAACCCGAAATGATCCAAACTTTTTGTCGATAAAAAATATCTGTGAAAATTTCCACATCCATTAGGTAGTTGCCTCTTAAGTTGTTCTAACAACTACTCCGTTCCGATTCATTCAATTCAAAAAAATTTGACAGCAATCGGTGTGAAAGTCAGCCAGAACGTTGTATAGCTTACGCGTATGTACAGATAATTCTTTTTTCTGATCATTAAAACTTAACTGTTGCTTTGCTTAAGACGCTTGAGAAAGAGAGAGTTATTTCATATTTCTCAAAAAAAATAATAACTGATGAATTTCATTGTTCAGATCTTAAATATTTACATTGAAAATTTAGAACCTCATAAACATGTAGCTCAAATAAGAAAAAAATTCGGTTCGTCATGCATATCTTACAGAACAATCAGCAAGGTTTTATATGCAGTGCTATAAATCGAAGTAGCATACTGAAACATTGGTTGGATATATTGCTTTAAAATGTAATAGCTACTTTTTATCTAGAAGTTGTTTTGTGTTGTATGATTTTGATATATAATTACTAAATTTTTTCTCGATACCGTCGATTGTTTCAGAAAAACAATCTAAGTCATTTTTGGCTTTTTGGGATTATCCAGTGGTTGCCAAATAACTTTGCGTGGTGAGTTTTCTTATATTAGCGTGTTACCATAATCTGAGTTTTGAGTGTCGTTTTATGCCATCTATTGTTAAAGTTTTTCAAGCTCACTTTCTATAATTTTAACGTATTTCAGTTCTCTATGTAGGTTTGTATCATTAGCAGAAAAATGATTTCAAAGTTCTGTTGGTCTTCAGGAAGACCATATATAAAGAACAGGAAAAGAATTGAGCTAATTACTGATCCTTTTGGGACTACAGTTTCCACAGTTTTGATGTTTGACAAGGCACCTTGAGGGCAAACAAGGCAAACAAACTGTTTTCTTGAACAAGGTTACTGAACAGGGCCATTTAACCCATGCATTTGGTATGATGCAAGTAGAATTGATTGATCAAATAGAAACTTACAATACAGACTTTTTCTCTGTTTTCTCTCTAAAATATTTCTTAGGAGATCCACTATTTTTATCCTTAATTGGTACTAAAACTGCTTTTCATGCATCTTTTGCTTTTCAGATCCTGAGCTACAGATGGGAACAGCCATCTATCTTCTGTCGATGGCTTCAGGCTGCCTGGTGATCACTATCCCCTCCTACCAAATACTGGGCATCAGACCCTCCTGCATCATTATGTCTGGCGCAGTCTTCTGGATTAGCTTCTTCCAAGGTAAGCTTTCAGAGCCTAATTTGATTTTTTTCAACAAGAAGAACTTTGGCAAAGTTAAAAATAAGTATTTTTAAAGGAGGAATCCAAATTGAATGAAGCATATTAATAAATTGAATAAGAATATTAATAATAAGAAAAAAACCAACCGAAATTACTTTCCAGATATTTCCCGTATCGACGTTTCCGTTGTGTTTCTTTTTATTACAATTAATTTTTCGTAGTTGTGTTCCTGTTGACTGCCGCTCTTGTTGTGGGCAGTTACTTCCAAAACACCTTCGAGTACCAGTCTTTCGGTTACTCCCACAGCCTCGCATGGGTCTCCTTCGCATTCTCCCTCTGTACTTTTGCAGCTGCTACCTTCAAACTGTACTGGACATTAAACCGGCACAAACACGAACCAGACACCGACCAAAAAATCAAGAGTCCAGAAAATACTCAAAGGTATCAATACAAAGCTTTGAAATTTTAATCAAAAATTAAAAGAGTAGTCTGACCAGGGGCGGATCTAGGATTTTCTCGAGGAGGGGCGGATTTTCGGAACATTTTCGGAAATTTTGACGACCTTTTTTTTAGGTCGACCATATTGATTTTTAGGTCGACCATATTGAGGTCGACCATAGTGTTTGGGCAAAATTTTCTGCGCCGCAGACGAACTTTTGAAAATACAGGTCAAAAAAGCCGTTTTTGGGCACTTTTTGGAAAATTTTGACAAAAAATCGCGTTTTTTTGGCGCGCGCTCCCCCTCAAAGTTACTGTATATTGGAGCCGAAGGCGCCTTTAGAAAAATTTTAGGGCCAGTTGGCCAAAATTGGTTTTCTTAAAAAATACCAAAAGGGGGACCCTTTGGATCGACATGGGGTCGAATCCCTTGGGGGGGGGGTCGAATCCCCTTCTTCCAAAAAAAATCTGCCCGAGTCTGACTTTTGAAGTTTTCAGTGAAGTCGAAAAAATTTGCAAAATGAAAATAAAAACCACAACAATTTTTTGGTTTGTAGATATTTCATCCTTAGTTTCAATTTTTTATTCAAGCACTTCAAATATCTTATCTTACTTTTGAAAAACATTCTGAGAAAATTAAGATATAAATAGAAACAAAGTATTATCTCTGAAATAGTCTTCAAAACTGTAAATTGTGCAGCAGTTTTTAGCCCCGCCCTCTCCTTCCATTTCTGGTTGCTTCATGTGTACATTTTTATGACAATAATTCTTGGCTGACCAACCGTCAAACTTTTCTTAAGGCTGTTATTTACTAGTTCTGAAGGGTTGTTGAAACTATGCTTAACATGGTGATCTAGGTTATCAGCAGAAATCAAACATTCAAAGGGCTGACGGTAAAAGTGTTCAAAAAATTCTTCCAGAAAACTGTCAAACATTCCAGCGCACGCCACCGATTTCAGGCAACAGTTTTTTTAGTTATTCGATTTCAGATTGCGTGAAATGTCTCCTCGAAGTGTCCTGAGTGAGCAACGAGAATTTTCTGGGCCTGGAATGCGAGGAGAAGCTCCAATTGACTCCCCCCGAAGTTTGAACAGCATGAGACGGATGTCATTTGAAGATAGACCACCGTCAGTTCCTGCTCCGATGCGACCTGACTACTACATGGATCAGCCCTATTCAAGAGCTTAAAATTCTGAGATACAAATAGTTAATCATTTGAGATTCCCCTTCCCGAAGAAATTCAAGAATAACTTGATCTATTGAGGGAACCATCCATTTCAATGAAATAAGGAATTTTGAAGTGAATTTTTACAAAAAAAAACATCTATAAGACTTTCGAAAACGATCAACATCTCCAATTGAGTCCATGTTACATCATTTCATACTCATTTAAAATCATTTTAGAAACTTAAATGTTTAAAGTTCTTCGAAATTAGCTTTTGATCTAATGACTGTGTAAAATCAGCTCAAGGTTTGTTTCTTAGATAGTATAGTGTTCACAAAAGAATTCAATTGAATCGATTCAGTATAGTTTTTCAAGCTGATATTGTTGAAGAAAGATTACAGCAGGGAGAAAGCTTGCAAAAACTGACCGACTAGGTGAAACCTAAAATGTTCTGACTAACCTACAATATCAGTTTTAAATCTGATACAAACTCACTGGCTGAAAAAAAAATCGACAGCGTATTTTACCAACAAACATGAAATGTCGTGTACTGATTGATTTTTGACAAGTTTCGCAAATACAAAGTACAAAACCCTAATTTTTTTCAACACACGTAAAAGTACAACATCAGGCTGAAAAACCAATAATCAGTGCAATGCATTGAAATTATTTAAATTGCTATACGGTTTTTGGTTATGGGAAAAAATAGTGAAAACTGATAAACAAAGTAAGAAAAAATAAATTTCTCCAAATTTTCGCTAAAATTTCTGTTTTAAAGGAAAAAAATAAGCTGTTTTTTATAGAAAAATTTGTAAGCAGAAAGTTCACAGACGGTAGAGATATAGCTCAAAGCTTCTTGAAAAACGATAAGCAGAAAAAAACAGCTGTTTTGTATGTGAAAAAAGGCTGTTTAAGACTAAAAAGCTGTTTTTTATATGAATGTTTGTAAACACAAAATTCACAGATGTTAAACACATAGCTCAAAGATTCTTGAAAAACGATAACCACGAAAAACACAAAGAATAACCAGTAGAAAATTAAAAATTGAGTTCATTAGGTCCCTCGAGCTAAATTTTGGACAAAATCAGTTCAAGTTGCTAATAATTAGGCTGTTTCTTTTCGAAAAATGCGTAGCGGAGTTCGAGGTCCTAACTAACCCCAGTTAGTCTTCTGTTTTTTTTATTGGACTCCAAAATATCTTTTTTTGTTGTGATCTATTTTGATAAAATAAAAGTTTCAGCTCACACAACTTGAGAAGGATCTCCAATACAGTTGGTCGCTGAGCCGATGTCGTTTGTCGATTCAAAGTAATTGTCCATGTAAAAGTTGGCAAAAGCACGCGGTTGTACTTTGGGGTAACCCGTTGAATTTTTTTTTGCACAATTGCGAAGAGCGTAGGTGAAGCAAATTGGAGAACATTTTGTCCCAAACTTACAAAGATTATACTTGGAGAGTTGAGGCTTTTACTCTCCCCAAAGCAAGCAAAGGAAATTGCGGTTTTTTTGCCGAAATTTCCTGGTTTGTTTGGGCTGATTTCTCCATGCTGGAAAAGAAGCCAACCAGTTGATGGTTATAAAGTAGTCCAAATTCATAGCTGTTGTCGTTCTTAGTGATTGTACGTCGTATCGTTTCCATGGCTGACTATAATTTTCGGGGATGTTCCACTAGGTTCCATTAATCAAAAAGAAAACTCGTCATTGCCAGAACAAGATTGAAAAAAAAAATTGTTAATGCGGATTTCATTGAACTTGTCGCTAGCATCCTTAAACAGTATTTTATTCCACGAATTTTTGAAAATTATAAGTAGAATTGAGAAATTAGAATGTATCATACTTTCAAGCATAAAAATGAAACTCAAAGCGTTGATTTCAGTTTTGAATTGCGAGTAATTTTGTTGATTTCAAGAAGAATGAGGATCTAACTGCTCAATAGTAAAACTTGGTTGTTTTCAGTTCGCCGCGATTTTAGTTTTGCCTGTGCTTCGAATTGCCACGTTTGCCAAGTCATTGGAAATTGTATTTTTACTCATCAATTTATAATTTTTTCAGAAGAAACCACAAATGGTTTACCGATTCCAGAAAATAGTTTTGTGATAACTTAGAAAGTTTTAAATTAACCCCTTAACTCGGTGTGGTTTTTTCTCGTCAGAAGAAAATTACTTTTAAATACATTTTTTGAAAAAAGTTTTTGAACCAGATCAACGTTTTCAACGCATTAAGATAATATTATAAAAAATGGCTTCCATTTGCAAAAAAAAAACGGCTGCAAAAAAAATGCCAGAGCGGTTAATTTGAGAAAACTAAAAGGATTTTTTCCATCTATTTACACTTGAGCGGTCATTTAGAAGCTTCAGAACACGTTCCTATCTGATTTAAGGGAAATTTTTTGGAGCTATCCTTACGTTTTTTGACGCTTAATGCGCCACCTTCAACTTATCATTACGGATTTTCACCAAAAAAAAACTTTTGCAATTAATTTTTTTTCAGAAGTTAATCAACAATTAAATTTCTTGAAAAGATAACTTTTTACTCAGGTCTAAAAGCAGTGGGAAATATCAGAAAGGGCTCTGTCCTGGTATGAGCAGTTGAATCATCAATTTGCCCTACCTTTTTCGTGTTTTTCCTTTTGTTGTATTTGGTTTTACGTCGAACTTGTCGCTAATTTCGCAAAGATCCTCTAATTCTACAACTGTAGAAAAAATTATTTAGAGTTTAGTGCTCGAAACGCATCATACATTCCAAATATAGGAAATGAAATGGAAATATAAATTTCGATTTTGTTTCCAGGAATTGTTTTTTTTATACAATAGACAGGGCGGTTCTAACGGTCCAGCTATGGAATATTGTTAATTCAGTTTTTTTGGCTAACCTATTTTTGGTTGTCTTTCGAATTGTTACACAACTGATAGAAACCGTAGTTTTTTGCTCCGCAGTGTACATTTTGTATCACAAGAAAGCGCAAGTGGTGTTCTAATTCCAGAAAATTAGACTTTTATGTTGGTCAAAAATATATTAGAATAACCGGTTGAAATCGATTTTTAAAAAAAAACTGAGGTCTTTGTGCTCGGTGTAGAATTTTTTTTTCGAAAAAAAATTGTTTTTCTATAAAAGTTTTTGAAAAAAAAACTAGCATAAATTTTTTTTGACGCTCTGAGTGTAATTTTAAAAATTATCCGTTGCAAAACTATGAAGATTAAAAATGCCATGGTGGCTAATCTGGGGAAACCCATTGCGCAGATTTTCTGGTTCCAGGTATTGGAGAGCAGCCATTGAGTCTGCCTCGTACAATGTTTTAGTCTCACTCGAGGCAACAAATTAAAGCTATAAAAAAACGTTGCAAGACTCTTGTTTGATCACTTTCTTTTTAAAATCGGGGAAATATGAAAGATTTGAAATATCGGGGAATATGAAATATCGGGGAAATTTCTTTAAAGATGACGATTTTCTAAGATCATACGAGAAACCAAATAATACAGGAGCGTTCTGCAGTCTGGTTATCAACTTACCCTAATTTTTTTCGTGCGTTTAAAATAAAATTAATCGGAGGACAGAATTTGAGTTATCCGATTAATTGACGTTAAAGACTAATGTTTTTACCCGCATCGAGCGCTATGGCTCATAATCAATTATACTATCAACTTCAAATCAGTATCTTTTCAGAAAAAATAACAACCACTGCGTTCATCCTCGCAAACTCTAAGTTTTTGATTTTGGCCTGCTTTTTTTATGAGATTTGCAGGTTTCACAAGCTCTGGAAAGCTGTTTTTCCGGAGGTCTTTCTTTGTGGCGTAAAAACTTATCATTGGGCCTGTCTTTCTCAAACTCACTTGTCGTTTTACAATTGTGTTGAGATCAGACCATCTCAAGGTCAGACAGATTAATTGAATCAGAATCAAAACTGATTAAACTCAGACAAGGTCAGCTAGTGATCTCAAACTAATTAATTAGTCTGTTATTATTAAACTGGTGCTTTTGTGATGCTTAGTTTATCATGTCATTTATATTCACTTCTTTCAATTCTTTCTTCAACAATCACTACCTCTTCTCAATCCTCAGTTCAAACCTCAGATTCTGTCTCAGTCTCTAACCCCAGCTCTTAATCCTAGTTGCTCTAACTCTGAATCTTAACAGGTTATGGGCCCAGATTTCTATTTTTTTCTTGTATTATTTTTTTGTCAGAGTTTTTAGCTTTTAGCTAGCAGCTTAAGCAACAATGGACTTAAAACTGGCAGTGATGGGCAATGATGATCTGCCAGACGCTGAGCCTACTCTCCTCAAGAGTCCGAATGCTGATCAGCAGGCAGCCTATGATACCAAGATGCAGGAGCGAGCAGTGTTGATCCAGCAGAGGAAAGACAATCGAAATACTGTGTGGTCCCATCTTGCTCTGGTGCTCAACAGCACCACTTTGATGTACATAAAGAAAGACTGCTTGGGAACAAATGGCTATGGGGATGGGACGAAGGCTTGGAAGCTGCTTCAAGAGAAGTTTTGCAGTGTAGAAAGGCCGACGGTGGTCAGTCTGGTTGGTCAGCTTGCAAAGCTGCGCCTAGCATCAGAGGAGGTTCTGGACGACTATTTCGTTCGCAGTCAAGAGCTGATAACGCGGTTGAGCGAAGCTGGAGAAGCAATCACGGCCACACTGTTCAATGTTTTGGTGATCAATGGGCTGCCTGACGGCTATGAGCATTTTGTGATGCAAGAGAGCTTTCAACCAGCCAAGACGTTTCCAGAGCTGAGAACGAGGTTGAGGAACTACGATGACTCGAGGACGGCTCGATGTGGAGAGAGAACTGGACATGGTCATATGGCCATGCAAGCTGCGAGGAAGAAGAAAAGAGTGTCAAGTAGTGGCTGCAATGTGTGCGGTCAGAAGGGTCATATGACGAGGGACTGCAAATCCAAAAGTGACAGCGGACAACCCAGTGTTCGAACGAACGGGCAGTGCGTCGAACGAAGCAAGTGAGCCAGGAGCAAAGAAGCAAGGGTGCTTCAAGTGTGGGCAACCTAAACATTTTGCAAGGGAGTGCAAGTAGGGGAGGACAGGGTTCTTCAGTTGTTGTGCTGCAACTTCAATGAAGGGAGACGACCTCATTGTGGATACGAGATGCACTGATTATGTGGTGCGCGACAGGGCTGTCTTTCCTAGCTTTGAGAGCTAGAACGAAGGGACAACTGTAGAGAACCCCAACGGGACGCTGTCAAGGATTGAGGGCAAAGGATCAGTGGAAGTGGAGTTCAGGGACTACCATGATGCTGTGAGGAGCT